AGCCTGGGCTACAAAGTGAGTTCAAGGCCAGCCTGAACTGCATAGCGAGACCCTGTCTCAAAAAGACAAAAAAAAAAAAAAAAAAAAAAAAAAAATTGCTCTGATCTCATCATCCCACTCCTCTCCTCAGAGGTCTACACAGATATGAGCTGTCTGCCTGCTCTTAGTTAAGATTACATTCCATGGTGAACAGCAACTTTAAACAAGGTCAGTGTCTGCTCCTCCCTTGTAGGCATCGCCTTTCCAGGACTTCTGAAGCATCGGCATGATCACCGGGGACCCAGATCCTTTAATTCCCCCACGCTCTTCAAAATGTGGACTTAGCTCGAGGCTCCTCTTCCAGCCCTCTGTACTCTGGCCAGCAGGAGGGAGGGACAGAACAAGAGCAGGGACTTTGCACTTCCCAGAAGTTGTGCATGACATTCTTGCTTTTATTTCCATGGCTAGAATTTGGTCACGTTATTCCTCAATGTTACAAGGGATGGGAGAAATGTCATTTTGTCCCAGGGGGCCATTTACTCAGTTAAAACTCATAGATTTTATTGCCATACAAGATGCACAATGGTTATTAGAGGGCAATAATAATCCTAGCTATTTTCAGCCTCTCTGACATTTTTGACTTCTCTTACTCAATTTGAAAATCCAATCCAGACGCCATAGTTTTGTTTTGTTTTGTTTTGTTTGAGGTAGGGTCTCGCTATGCAGTTCAGGCTGGCCTTGAACTCACTGTGTAGGCCAGGCGGGCCTTGAACGCATGGTGATTCTCCTGCCTCAGCCTCCTGAGCGCTGGAATTGCAGGAATGCACCACCGTGTTTTCTTTCTTGATGGTCTCACTACGTAGTCAAGACCGGCCTTGAGCTCAGGTAGCCCAGGCTGGCCTTGATGTTCCTGGCTCAGGCTAAGAGTCCTTTTTATGTATATCTGTATGTATGTATGTATGTATGTATGTGTGTGTGTATGTATATATATGTATATATATGTGTGTGTGTGTGTGTGTATGTATGTATTTAGACTCCATCTTCAAAAATCAAATCCGAGTGAGGGCGGTGGTGCCTGCCTATAATCCTACTATAGCACTGTGAGGCTAAGGCAGGAGGATTTCCAGTTCAAGGCCAGTGTGGGCAATGTAGTGATTTAGCACGACTATCTCAAAACAAAAAAGAAAAACAACGGTTGGGGATGTAGCACAATGGGAAGGTGCTGAGTTCAAACCCTGCTACTGAAAAACAACAACAACCCCAAAACAAAAATGAAGCGAATCAACACAAAACAACTGCTTGCCTCCCTGTGGTCCTAACCTGGCTTCTTCCACTATGACTGTTTCTGGACTCTCTTCCCCAGGTAGTGCCTCAGAACTGATCTCCCCACATGCTGCCTCTACTTCCTTATTCATGCATCATTTTTTTTGTACTAGGAATCGAACTCAGGACCTTGCGCTTGCCAGGCAGGTGCTGTGCCACTGAGCTACATCCCCGGCCCTTGTGCATCATTTTGACCTCCCCTGATTTACCAAAACGGCTGTGGCTCGTATGACCTCCACAGAAACAGACGCGGGGCACAATTTTAATGTTTCTCCTCTGGATCTCTTGGTAAAATGGGACGCACTGGGAGCCTCTCGGGTCTTCCACCTCTCTCCTCTTGGCTCCCTGACCTCCCTCCTTCCCTTCCTTTCCACCCTGCTGCCCTACACTCCCTGCTCCTGACCCACGAGAAGTGGTGTCTGCAGGGCTGCAATCACCGGCTGACCTATGTCCCCCACCCACTGTCCAGTTCGCCTGCTCTGCGTGTGTCCACACCCCTTCCTGGGGCGAAGAACTTGGTGACACAGCTGTCCGCTCACCCCGACTGAGCGCCCGTGGGTGGCTCAGGACGCAGAAAGAAATCTGGGCTGATTCAGAAGCCTCGTGCTTCTACTTTCAGCTTCAAATAGCACCAAAAGATCTGGATCCTGTTTCTGCCTCTCAGTTCCCAGGTTGCCCTCTTTAATTTACTTTTTTTTTTTTTTGTACCTGGAATTGAACTGAGGACCTTGCGCTTGCCAGGCAGGTGCTGTGCCGCTGAGCAAAATCCCCAGCCCCCAATAAGTGATTTTTCTACCTGCTTAGAATCTTGCTTCTTGGTATTTCTCTTATCCTTTCTTGATCTAAACTGTGATTTTTTTTTTTACAACTTTTAAATTTCTTTCTTTTAAAAATTATCTGTTCTTCCCTTGTGACATCATCTTGAAGTGTTCTTTTATTTTTTTTACCTGCTTCAAACCTATGGCTAAAAAGCAGGATTCAAGCCTCTTTCCCAGAAACTTTTAGCGCTTAAATACACTTGGCAGTCCCTGGGGCTGAGGCCTTCGGGTCCGCTTCACACAAGAGCCGGTTGCTTTCCAAGTTCGGGGTGGCTGTTGGGGGGCGGGGCAGGGCAGATGGTTTTTCAGAACTGGCAAACCCTGTCAGGCCTTTTCTTTGGAAATTCACCTCCTCCCTCCCACCATTTCTTGGGTGTAAGACAACTGTTTTCTTTTTCTCCCTGAGTACTGTGGACCGAACCCAGCAACCTCTAGATGAGCTACATCCCCAGCCCTTTCTTTGGAGACAAGGTCTTTCTAAGTCACCGAGCTGCATGGATGGGGCTTGAACTTGAGATTCGCTTCCCTTGGCCTCCCAGAGGGCTGGGATTACAGGTGCGCACGCTGGGCCCGGCTGAAATGACTGAGTTCTTATTTCATCTGCTCAATCAATGATTTTACCTGCCTAGTCTGGAAGGTTGTAACAGTGGGTTGTGGAATTGGGATCCAGTAATACAGTCAGACACCACCTTAGGGACAGAGGACAAACAAACCACTAAAAGCACAATTTCTGTTTTCTTCTGAAGCAGTTAGGAACTTAAAGTTTTTTTTTCTTCCCCCTGCTAAAGCACCTAGTATTTCCATCCAAGCATTAATCAGGCCAGACCCTGGTTTGCTTTTGAGATCATACACAACTGGGCACATTCAGGGTGATATGGCCACACACCCTTCCCCACAACCCCTTGACCCTTCACTTGGGTCTACAGACACCCAATGGGCAACTAAAAGTAGAACAAAGCTTGGTCTTCCTTTTGCATCTTTCTCCTTTGTTACCTTGAAACCTTGGTGCAGATCTGTTCCTAGCTCTACCTACAGCCCAAGAACCACTCAGGGAGTGTCTGTCTAAATACTGGCAGCGCAAGGTTGATCAGCTTTAAATTTGCATAACCTACCTCAATCTTCAAGATCTAGGACACCAATACTAGAGATTTCCAGGGATTGCAACTACCAGCGAGCACCTGGAAGCCTCTAATACTTGCCCTAAGCGTGTGGTTACCTTGGATTCCAGGGGAGCCTCCGTAAACTGAAGCTGTCCCAAGCAGACACTGTGGTCTCCTGGAGATCAGATTAAGTGATAGGGATTGCTTTTGGGGCCATCTTGCAAAACGAGAACTGAAACACTGCTCACCAGATTCTAGCCCACTTCAGCTGCGCAGTAAAAGCTGATCTTGCTCTTTGTTAAGGAGCCAGTCTGCTCCTCTTCTTAGAGTTGTATCCCCTTCAGCTCCCAAGGCTTTATTCTCTTTTATTTTCTCTTGTTTCTAACTCTGGCGAATAAATCTGTCTCTGCCTCACGATGACACATCCTGAAATTCTTTTTCTGTGACAAGAGTTAAGAAACTATGTAGGGCTGGGGATATAGCTCAGTGGTACAGCGCCTGCCTGGCAAGTCCAAGGTCTTAAGTTCGATTCCTGGTACCAAAAAACAACAACAACAAAAAAAAAAAACA